CTCTGAACATCAAGAAACATTTTGTCAGGGTGAGGGTGACCAAGCACTRGCACTGGTTRCCCAGAGAGAATGTGAGATCCATCCCTGGAGACACTCAAAAGGGATCTGGACCTGGCCCTGGGCCATTGGCTYTAGATGACCCTGCTTGAGCAGGGTGGTAGACCAGATGACCTCCAGAGGTCCCTWTAAATCTCAAACATTCAGTGGTTCTGTGAGCTCAGCTTGAATATCTATCCAAAGGTAAAAAAAAAACCCATGCTTGCACAAACTCATTAAAATATAGGACAAATTACATAGCTGAAAGCAGAAATTGGAAGCTAAAAATGCAGTGTTTAGGTGACCTTCATCCCAGTGTTCTGAAAGAATGGGCACAGGAGATGAAAGATGCAGCAGAAAGGATTTTTAATCCATAAACTCAAAAGCAGAAAAAAAATCCAAGCATAGTGCCTATATTTAAAAGGAGAAAAAGCAATCAAGAATATGTCAGGTCTATGAATTTGATCAAAAGCCATGATGCTACTGAGAATAATTATTCTTTCTTGCAAAATTCAAAGACAAAGAAGAAAACAAATGATCATCAAAGAAGGTATCAGATGGATTCACCAGAGGTAGATTGTGCCAAACTTGACATCGTTCTTTGACAAGACAGCTAATTTTTTTAGATAAAGGAAATGCAGGAAATTTATATGGACTTTTTAAACTATGCTGAATGGGTATGGGATTTTGATACCGTGCCRTATCAGTTAAGATAAAAAAGATGGGAAAGGAACCATGTATGCTGATGGCAGAGATAACAGTTGTCTACACTGAATGGAAAGCTATTGTATCAGAAGGCTACTAATGGTGTTCACAAAGAATGAGTCTTTGATCAACACTTTTGAATTTTTAAATGTGTTTATATTTGGCATAATTAAACTTATATAAAAAGGTTGATAGCGACATTTCCTGATAACACCAAGTAGTATCATATATGCAGAAAAGGATCGAAACGTAATAGAAAAAGAACTGGATGACCCTAAGTGAGTACTGATAATGGGGTGCAATTTAACAACATTAAATTAGCAAGACCTTTCATAGAGGGACTAATAAAATCAAATTCTCCAATAATGTGGAAGCTGTTCTCCAATAATGTGGCAGCTATTCATAAAATCAAGAACACGAGTGTTTACCTTCCCATAATACAGCTCAGTCAAGACTTCAAAACATTTTTTGTAGGCCTAGCATGCAAGAAACAAAGTATTCCCAGAAGCAAAAAGTGAAAATAGCTGTATAAGACCCCAGCAAGAATGCTGAGTACTACGCAACAAGCTGTGGTAAAAAACAGGAACTGAATAGATGYGAAAACCACCAAAAGACCAAACCAAAAATGAATGGAAAAATTCATTTCATGATGAAAGCTAAGATATATTGGTTTAACCAGCCTAACATAATCCTTAGCCAGAACAAGTTTGCTTTTTATGAATACATTAGGAGAAGTAAATTCTCGCACCATACTCAGCACTGGTGAGGCCATACCTTGAGTACAGTCCAGTTCTGAGCCCTTTCCTACAGAAAGACTTTGAAGGGCTGAAGTGTGTCCAGTGAAAGACAGTAAAGCTGGGGAAGRGTCTGGAACACAAGTCACATAAGGAGTGGCTGATTAAGCTTGGGACGTTTAGATTGGAGAAAAGAGGTGTGGGGGGGGGAAACCTTATCACTCCCTATGATGACCTGAAAGGAAGCTGTAACCASGTGGGAGTTGGCCTCTACTCCCAGGCAACCAGCAACAGGACAAGAGAAAATGGCCTCAAGCTGCAACAGGGGAGGTTCAGATCAGACTCCAGAGAAATTCCTTCACAGAAAGAGTAGTTRAAACATTGGAATGGGCTGCCCAGGGAGCTGGTGGAGTCACTATTCCTGGAGATGTTCAAGAAACAACTGGACCATAATCGTAGTTGATAAAGTGCTGATCAGTCAAAGGTTGGACTTGATCTCAGAGGTCTTTTCCAACCTAAATTATTCTGTGATTCTGTAAATTCTAGACACATGTACGAACCATATAATGAAACGGAAAATATTAGCAGAAAATATTAGCAGAAGTGCAAGTAGGTATGAAGTGGCCATGAATAGATTTTCAGTCAGAAATCAGATGGCAGTTATTAATCATCAAATTAAGGAAGTTCTGACACAGTCCCTCCACTAGCACAATGATGCAGAAATTTAGCTGGTTTGAACAAGAAGCTTGTTTAATTTATACATTAGAAAAAGAAAACAAGAAGATCTCATTGTCCACACAATAGAAAACCTAAATACAATTCCAGTCCCATTAAATACACAAAACACTGCAATTTTCCAGAGGACTCTGAGATACACTGTAACTGCAGCATGCTGGTCTTCTAGTTTTTGAATAAAAACTCACCTTAAGCAACCTAATGTTAAATTTGTTGTCTCATGATCTCCCATAATAAATTAAGACACTAATAAAGAACATCAGTYATTGTTTCTCCATTGTTTAGTACAATCTGCTCTACACTGCCACAATTTTTAATTTGACACGCTGCTGGCAGACAAGCCCAGACCCAGCATATCAGGGGCACCTCTGTGTTTCCTGGGTTCTGTTCCTCCCCACTGTGTAAGTAGTATTTTAATGAAAAGAGCAACTGCTTGTAAAAAATGCAAGAACTGAAGTGCTGGGAATATGCAGTCAGTGAATGAAAATTGCTGGCTGCTGCAGGAATTAATTTATAAATTGGATAGATTATGGCAGCACTTAGTGGATAGGGTAACTGCCCATCATTCACTATTGTTGAATTATGATGATTTGCAGTGGCATTTGAACCTGATGGAAATCACTGCTTTCCCAGAGCAGAAATGCCATGTTTGTGCTTCATTTCCTTCAAAGATTAATTAATATCAAAGACAYTTAGATAGTGAGAAAAAATATTGGACCTTGGAAGCTCAAAAATATTTGTCAGCAGGCCATCATCTGATTGATGCTGCAAAATTTTTCATGTGGACACCTGTCATTGAAGTCTTCAGGGCCAGCTGGACAGAGTTATGACCCAAAAAAAACATGCAAAAAATAACACTGGGCATAACCATGATATRGAACATATGAAGTATATCCCATTTGCTTCGCTTGCCTCTCCTACCCATTCTTTTGGGTATGAGACACAAGAAACACCACCTTTTTTCTGATCATGCATTTGTTATCACACCACAACTCCTTATAACATCGATCAATATCTTGCTGAAGGGAGCTCCAAAAACATGGAGAAAAACAGCCGTTCACAGCAAATCAAGTCTAAATGCTAAAGGCCTTCTTGCAACAGTGATTGCTAAGGAACACGGGAACTGACCTACTGAGGTGCAGAAGAAAAGTAGCTGCTTATCAGAAATAACAAATAATTAAGGGGCAGAGTTTGGGGCCCAAGAAAAAAAAATACAAATATGTTGTAGCATTAACTGCCCAAATACTTTTCGGCTCCTTGCCAACTACCCTGTCTGCCTCATGTGCATGCAGCATGCTCATAATTCTATGTGGAGCCTTCATTTTAGAATAGCATGAGCTCTGCTGAGCACTTCTGAAGATGATTTTTGTGTGTGCTTCATGGTATCCACTTTTATGACTTGGCAGCCCACTCAGTTCTGCAGTCTAACCAATCAGCCAACCCAAAGACCCTGCATTTGTCCTACAATTGCTCATATGATTTTGTCATGATACACCATAATGTATGACAGACCTGTTACTGTGCCACTCAGTATACTTGTAAGTGTGTATCCATACACACTTGGTACAGTAAATGTATCCAAGATCCTTTGGMTAGTTACGAAATTCCATTCCCAAACACAAGGCTGATAGAGAAAAGTATATGCAAGGAGATCTTCTACTCTCTATGCAGCAGAACTTTTACAATCAAAATGGTAATTTCTGCATGAACTGAAGAACTTTAGAACTGTAAAACAAGTATCACTTTTACTGAAGAAAAAAATGCAGAGGGCAGGCATTATACCTGTGAAATGGATTCACAAAACAGATTTATTGTATGAAAGTAAGTAATTCAACAAAGCAGCAACATAAACAACCAATCTTATTGGTAGGATTCAAGATTGGTTGTGGATGAACACAAAACTTGTTGGTACAGACCAAAGACTAAAGACATACTACTTATACAGACGAGAAAAAATAATTACTTATGTAAGAAGCATTTTCCCACCCTGGTTGAGGGAGAAGCCTTATTACTGTTACGATAATTATTAATTTTAAAGACAGCATTTCTCTACAACCACTTTCTCGGTACACCTGCAATACCAGGTGTGCCCTCCATTAAGATACAATTACTCTTGCCTGCTACAAACATTCAATTTTGTTACCCAACCGCAACAGCTGATTTATTTAGCCACTGTTTTAAATAAGGCCAAGATGACACTGTAGCTCTAATAAGACGTGATATAACTAGAAATGGTTTATGTAAATCCAGTAATAACATAAACACTACAGAGATAAAGCCGTTTCAGTGCTCACTGCACGGTCGAGTGATACCGGTTCCGAAACAGAATTTTTGCTATTTACTCCCTCTGCCCTGACCTCGCAGTTCAGCCCGGCTGGCCCAGCGCCGCTTCGCAGCCCGAGCGGTGCTCACGGGCGGCTCTGAAGGCTCGGACACGGGCCTCCCGACACCTCCAACCGCGGCCGCCCGATAGCGGGGCCGGGCAGCCCGGCACCGGCGCACAAAGGATCGGCCGGCCCCGCTGAGCCGTCCCGCCCTCGGCCTGCGCGAAGGGCGCGGCGCTGGCCCCGGGCTGCTCCGGGGCGCGGGACACGCCGAGCACCGCCCCGACCCGCCGCTCCGCCGGTCCCGCCCGCCCGTGGMAGGCGCTGCCCTGGGCCGGGGCCCCGCGCCCGCCCCACGCCCCGCGGCTACCCCAACCCGCCAGGCGCACACCGCCCCCGGGAGTCGCGGCGCAACGAGGGGCGAAGACACCCGGGCCGAACCCACGCCGACTCGCCCCGCGCCCACCTCAAACACCACTTCTTCGTCGAACTCCGGTGTCATCCTTGCCCGCCATGCCACCCCCTCCCCGTGGGCACGCTGGGAAACCGAGTCCGCCGCGCCGCCGGCCGCCTCACCCCGCCCCGCCCCACTGGGCGCTGGCTTAGGCAAGGGAGAACTACAACTCCCAGAAAGCATAGCCAGAGCCCGCTTCCGGGCAGCCTGTGGGCGGTGCTGATCGGGGAGGGGGCGGGCCCAGCAGCGGAGGGGAGGGGCGAGGGTCCGGTAGGGGGCGCCGGCGGGTGGCGGCTGAGGGTGCTCCGTGTGCCGCGGGTTGGGATGCGGCGGTGGCGGCGGGCGGGGGGAGCTGCTCCTGCTCCGGCTGCTCCTCCGGCTGGGTGGCGGTGCGGAGGAACAATGGGCGCCTTCTCCTCGGCCCTCAGAGGGGCCGTGGCGTAAGGAACGAGGGAAAGCGCTACTCGGCGCCTGGGGAGCACCATGAGCTCCGCCGGTGAGTGCCCGGGTAAACTTTGGGGAGCGGCGGTTTCCGCCCGGCCGGCGGCAGACGGGAACTCCGCGTGCCCCCGCGGCCGGACAGCCTCGGCTCGTTCCCCGCGGGGCGGCGGGGATGAGGAGCTCGCTCCGCGGGACGGGAGCCGGACGCTCCGGGGGCAGCGCGGGGAGGCGGGCGGAGAGCGGTCGGGAGCGGTGAGAGGCGCACCCCGCACCCGGTCCRGTGGACAGCCCTTCCCGGGGTCCGCTACAGGCTCCCCGCACTCCTCGGCACGTTTGGCCGAGGGGCCGTGCGGGCAGATCCTGCCCCGGAGCTGGAGCTTAGCGGGCTGAGCCCGGGCTCTGCTCTCACCACCCCGCGTGTCCCGAGCGAGCCTCTCCTCCTGGGCTGAGCTGACGGCGGGGGAAAACCTGTTGGGGGCTGGCTTCTGGCAGGCGAGCCAACACTGAGGCTGGGACTGTCGCTCCGTCTATTCCGCGGAGCTGCCAGAGTTTGTCAGCTGCGGCTTTGCTTCGGGAATGTACCTGCCTTGGCCGGGCTCGTGCAAGCAGGAGCCCCACGGAGATGCTGGAAAGCGTTCGCTTCTGGCCTTTCCAGTTGCTGTTTGGAACTGACCTACTTCAGTGCTTTCCTTACCTTTCCTCCCCCGTTTCGCTGCCAATTTAGCGGCTAAAAGAGCTCCAGGGCAAATTCTTGGTTCAGAACAAGAGCACCCCCTGTTTAAGGGAATTGCTTGTACTTCTATTTGCCTGTACGGTGGTGTGCTAAGTTAGTACTTTTGTTCAGCCATCTGTTAGATTAGTAGGTTCCTCTGTTAGATTAGTAGATTCCTTTCTTATCTACCTAAATACAGGAACAGGAGATGTTTCTGCGTTGAAAACGTGTCATGTAAATTATGATGTATTAGATGGAAACACAGCTAATTGTAGGGTTAAACGGGAAGCAGCTTCCTGTAAGGATTGGGGTGGTGGGTGTTCTAAAGAAAAAGCAATACACAGTCCTCAAGCAGAAATATCAACCTAGCTCTCAGTGTTTTGCACTCAAGTATGTCAAATTTTTATTGATTTCAGTGTTATATGAGCTCTCATAGTTAATGAGAACTTACTGATTATGAAAAGCAAAATTAAAATGAAAAACAATTTAATGCATCTTTCTGCTTCATTAAAAACATTCCCATTTTTAATTTATATGACAGACCCAATTTWGCTTAGCTTTTGAAAAGCATGTAATAACGTGAGATATGTCTGCTTAACAGCTGSATCGTATATTCCTGGTTTTCGTAGTTCCACTGATAGTACAGTTTACCCCTGCTCTTTTAAGAGTTAAACAGCTGTGCAAATAAAATAAGTKTTAGGGGGTGCTCAAGAGCTTAAAGCAAGGCTGTTAAAATTTGATCCGGTACTAAGTTTCAAAAGGTTGGATAGATTTTCAGTACTAAACAGTAATTTCTGGACTTTTAGATCTTAGGTGTTGTGACTGAATCTGTTTCAAGTGTACCTTGTGGTGGTGTTTATGGGGAAGGTAAGGACAAAGGGGTTCTGGTGAACAAAGTAAGCAAAAGAGAAAGGGATGCTGAGAGATATCAGCAGGAAGACAGTAGGACAGTTTCATGGCAAATATAAATTTTAGCAAGTTTTTTCAAGAGGGAGCCATAAAGAGTACTGGTGTGCAGGAAGAGGGAAGATGAGGGTTGTTTAAGAGGGGATGAAGAKTATTTTGTGTGTGATATATTATGTGAAGATAAAAAAATAAAAGGAGAACAGGTGAAACAAGATTAGAAATTCATGATCCTGCTGACAAAGTTATGATTTTTGATATTTCAGTTAAGGAGTTCCTAGGCAGGGTATGAAAAGGCTGAAGACTGCCAGAAGACAGTTGTGAAGGCTTAATGTCCCTGTCATTTTATTGCTGCAGAATGTAGTGCCTGTAATATGTAGRAATTCTTTTATCAAGCTGTTGCTCACATGAAAACTTACCAGCTCCCATGTTTTGATTTCAGTCATGTGTTCTATAGAATTTATTTCTACATTGAAATTACTTAATAGTGAATTCAGTTCTTACTCTAGTTTGTGCTATGTAAGCCAGCTTTCTGACAACTGCTTGGAAATACAGCATTTCAGTAGAAATGTTAGTTTGTGGAGGCCCCAGGTGGAACTTGAAATGCTAGAAATCCTTCCTTTAGTTTGACTTGAAGGGCCTAAGTGTTTTCTTTTAAGGCACCTGTAGAACAAAGCAACATGATACACCATCATCTGTATTGTTTTAATATTTTTTAAAGTAGGATTTGCAGATGTGTGCTTAATATACAGGGCTCTCTCTAAAAGAGATACTGTCCTATTTGAGAGGACTGCGGTATGGGGAGAAATGCCACACTTGACTTCTCTCCAAGGACAGAAGCTGCAAAAGGTCTGAGATTGATAACCCAACCTTAACCTCACTCCAGTTTACCTTCTGCCTTTTAAATAATGCASTGCATATTCAGTTTCTTGTTGCGTATCTTTCCTATTTCCTCTACAAAGTTGTTTCAGTTACATCTCAGTCCAGAACTSAACATAATTCAGTGATGGAGCTCTGCCACAGCTGTTGCTTACATGTTGTGAAATGTGTATGTGAATCTGGAATTGCTGGAACTAAGGAACTACAGCATTTTACATATATACTTTAATRTATTTTAAAGATTATCTTATTGTAGTGATCAAACCATATGTTGGTTTCAATCTTCACTTACAGCTATACTCCTGCCATTGCTTTCTCAAGTACTGCATGAGATATATTTATATGTACACACTATTTATATGATGCCAGTGAATGTCCATTTACTMATTTTCTGCCTGGAAGTATTATGCTGGCTTCAAGTATGTGCTTTGCCTTTAAAAGGAAAAAACAAAAGCTCAGAGTTATGAGTTTGACATTTATTATTTCTTGCTGAAAAAACAGTCCCTATGTGTGAATCTATAGAGCTTATTTAATGCGGGCAGAATGTATAGCTTAGATTTGTAATTAGAATTGACATCAACAATGAGAAAAACGTATTTTAATGTCAGAAATRTAGTTCAAATGGAAAAAAACATAGCAGGAAGAGAATAAACAAAATCAACATGACTTTTCCAATCAAACTTCATTGCTTTCAAGGTTTGGAAAAAAATGAGGCCTAAAGGGTTTAATGTCCCTTTAACCCTCAAATATGTCAAGTCTCATTATAGTTATTCTGCTCTGTCTCCGCATGTAATCTTAAAAGATTGTTTATTCATCTCTTGTCCTTACTCTGATGTTATCCCTAACTTTCTTGTTTTATTTCAATAAGTCAGTGGACAACCTAAGATTTTGAAATGGATGTTTTCCTTTTGCAGTTTAATTGGGATGTTTTCTAAAACTGTAGTGGCTTGTATTTTTCTCTKGTATTTTAAAAACTACATGTGTTATCTTCTGGGATGTAATGACTCATACATTTTTTTGTTTCTTTTGGGCATYTTGGCACCTGAGAAAGTCAGTACCTCTGCATAATAAGAAAATAAATAAACATTTGCAGGAAATAAATTAATGATTTCACAATACTTTTTTTTAGGTTTTTACCTAATGAAACTTTCTTTCTGTAATTGAAAATAAAGTATTGTACCTGAAAAGCCTCGTAATGAGTCTGTAAAATTTAGGCTGCTGGGGGACAGGAGTTTTAAAATACTTTATCTGTTTCTCTGTGCAGTGTATTAACTGCCACTGCAATAATCTCTCAGTGTATGCCAAACGTAGCAGTAAACATCTTTCTCCCTACATGTTCTTTAAAAGCCAGATTGGCTTTCTTATTTTGAATCTTTGAGTTGTAGTGTTTTATGACAGAAGTAGTCTCAGGAGCAGTAAATTGGCTGTTGGAGCAAGTTCTTCCTTCATGTAAGAAAAAAGGCACATCTCTTGGTAGATACCCTCCGGGTATAGTATTATTTTTATATATAGCCTATAGATGTGATTTCCTATATYTGAGAATACAGTGTGCATATGTAAACAAGGTGCCACAAGAAAGCCAATGCATATGTTTACTCTAGGCCAGCTGCTGAGAGCTTCAGTTACGACTTTCCTTTTCCTAGTGTGTGTGAAATATATCTGTGCAGTAGTGCATGAAATAGACTTTACTGCCTTATACAGTGTGTGGTAAGATAAGAATATACATATGAGCAGCTTCTATAAAGWAGCTGATATGTTAAATTCACACCTTGGCTTAGCCCATAGTAATTTGATTGTGTACACATACCTTAAGCTTAGGTTCAGCTGCTGTCAAAATCTGATGCCACGTTGTTTTACTGTCTTCCTATTCTTTTGTGGTTCAGAAAGGACATTGCTTTGGGATGGGTTGCAGGATCCTGCCCAGAGTACCTCTTGGGTGACTTCAGATAGTCCCATAGGGCATCCTGAATACCAGGAGGGGAGCCTCTGTGCATGTGAAGGGTTGCAAGGATAGGAATATCAAGTTTTGTTAGCTTGGCAGTGTCCAAAACCATTTGTTCCTTTTTTATGGACAGATGCAAGTCAACATAACTTATTCCTGTTCTTTTGTAGGTCCTAARTATAGAGATTGTTAATATGATCTCAAAGGTATTGGCATAAAAACTACTTGGGAAAAAAATATTCCTTTAGCAATAGTAGGGTGTATTGCAGAAGGGGTAGTGC